AAAATCACAAAATGATAATACGATTGCAAGAGTAGACACAAAATAAGGACAAAGCAAGTTGTCGAAAGCGTTTACGGCGCACCCTGTACTCTTACATACGCATCGGCATCACGTATTTTCGTTCACATATATTTACAGGATCAGTTCAACTTATGTCAAAAACTGAAAAAAGCATTAACTGATAAAAATCAAAGCGATATAAATAGTATAGATCTTATGCACGAACTGCATTTTTTGCAAACTTTTGGAGGAAATGTAGCATCGCCGGTTGAAACTCTTAAGTCAATATCGTTGTCAACAACACAGTGGTGTTCAGAGAAGAATTTTGGATATATCTCTGGACATCAGCCCTAGAGCATTTTTTTTTTGTTCCTTGTTGTAATCACAGCTTGAACCTTGTCGTAAACTACGCTGCGAACAACAATTTATTCAGTGTAAACGTATTGGATACGTAAATTAATTTGTTTCTATTTTTAAGATAATAAATAGTGTTCAGGAATATATTTGGTATCCAATGCGTTTAGTATATTATTTCGCTTCGCTTGCAGTGCTAATTTTTTATAACATGCTGTTGTTGACTATTGATCACTTGTCTGACGTATAGTCAGCCCAAGCCCAAGAAATTCCTCGTGGCAAGAAACGCAAGATACGGTCGTTGGCAACAGCCTTGAACACCTTACATGTGACAGTGCAATTTAGTTCAGTTTCGCCTCCAATTTTGATGGAGAGCACCCTCGGGAGGGATGGGACCGAAGGTCTCCCACCCCTCTTCCCCTACCACCAACCTTACGAGAGAACTTTCGCCTCGCATATTTAGAGTGACCTCATGCCGCAGGGACACTATACATTTATCAACATTCATGTCTCCTCTGGGATTCGAGCCCGAGCCTTTCTTTCGGCACGGTAGTCAGCAACGCTAACCACTGTACCGGTTGGGGGGCTTTTTATAACATAAATGTGTGTATAATTTTTTCAATAAATATGTTTGAGTGTGGGTTTTAACAAAGCACAAAATGTTTGTGCTTAAATAATGTAATATATTTGCATATAAAAATGTAATATGTTTGCATATAAAAATATATAATGTTTGCATATAAAAATATATAATGTTTGCATATAAAAAATATATAATGTATGAATATTACATTTTTACATAAATATGACATTTTTACGTAACAAAATGTAATATGTTTGCATATTTAAACAAAAGATAAAATGTAACCTTTTTTTTTTTGTTTTTCATATCATTATGTTAATGTTTCATGTTAAATGTTAACCATATGCAATGTCCCTTTAATATCGTCACAACGTAAAGGCGCTCGCTAGACATTTGCACGACGGCTTTGGTGTGGGCCTGGTCACAGTAGTACACTCGTCACGTATTCTAGAGGTCCAGTCCCGGCGAGGGAACTGCTTATTTTTTACTTCTCCAGCATCAAACTAACCTAATAATTCTACAAGTTCAAAATCGTCATAATCCACTTAATTTTGAACAAGTATGTGCCTCTATTACAGTTACGTCAATGAACTGCAAATGTACTCCCTGCGTGCGTAGAAATAAGTTAATATTGTAATCCATTGTCCAATAACGAACTATGCAAAAATAGTGAACTGTGAAATCTTTTTAAGAAGACACTGCCAATATTTACGTTGAGTGCTAGATTATGAGATCAAAATTTGCTGTGGGTATACCTTGAGATTAGGTAAACTAATCCAAGCAAACATAACTAATTTCATTAATTTATTTAAAACATTATAGCACAGTTCATATAATTTTTTGTGAGCATATGAGAATACTTCGTTGTGGTTAAAAATTTATTCGAAGTGATTCGGCTTCAATTAATGGGCATAAAGTCTCCGTTACACCTAAATACTCCGATTTCGTAGCTTTGAGGCAGATATTTTCCATTATTTTTGTCAAAGATTATTGTCGCCCAGCCGGTATAGGGGCTAGTGACGTTGACTGCTGTACCAATGAGCCCGGGTTTAAATTCCGGTGACGGCATGGATATTTGTAAGCGTAACGTATCTGAGCAACGAGGAGGAGTTCGAAAGACACGGCGAACCAAAGTTTTCTCCAGAGTTCCGTTGTGGGAGATCCTCAGACCGACATCTGACGTATTATCCTTTAACCAACGATATCACGTTTACACCTTTGGACTCTTATTCAAAGGGTATTTTTACTAATGGTTCCAAGACGACAAAGGCATGGCAGTGCGTTTTGTCACGTAGCAGTTAGACAGTGTAAACAAGAATAGAAATGCAAAATGAGCCCTTCCAACTCGGTCAACTCGAAAGACGTTATAAATGTTATTTTCAAGAAAATACTTTTGAAGCGTTTAGCTGAACAAAAATCTAATACTCTTATTCTTCTTCTTCTTCTTTTTAATTAAGGACGTCCCGTTTTCGGTGCAACTATTTTTGTTGTTTTTGTTCTATTGCTCTTTTTTATATGCATTTTCAGTTTCCCTCATTCTTCAATTTTAATACATCTTTTACGAGAAATTTACAATTTGCCCTCGTTTGAATCCTTGTTATAAAATTTATCTTCATCATTTAATTTTTGTTTTATGTTTTTATACTTTGTTTTCGTTTGACAGCTTAGTATAAAATTTCCCTTAGTCCATTATTTTCTGCATTTCAAAATTATTTTATATTTTTATTTTAAAATTTTGTTTTTAATCATTTGTCCTTGTTCGATTTATTAATGTTATTTTATTATAAGTTTTCTCATCGGCATTTTTGTGTATTTTTTATCATCTCCTTTAATCGTATTCATTAAAAAATTCTTTTAATTTTAAATTTGCAATGGTGAATGGTTGGGAAATCTGAAAGTCACCAAAAATTTTTTGCAGCCAAAAATGTTTAGATGATTAGCTTTTATGTTATGCATGCTTAATAGTAAATTAGATTTTTTAAAAAGTTTTCTTGAATGTGTCCTCGTTTGATGATTAATAAATGTTTTTGAAAAATAATAATATATCAGCCAATGTTTGACTCGAAAAAATCGAGTAAAAATAGATAAACCGAATATCTGGCAAAGAACTTAGTTTCTTGAATTATTTAATTGCGAAAATTGTTTATTTTTATTTCGGTGTATTGTCAAAAACATTTTAAAGTCTATCGATTATCATAGACTGATAGGTCACGTATTGCTCCAGAAAAGGTTTCAGAATATTGTATTCAAGAAAAACTATACTGTGAAAATGCAACGAAATACGCAGATTATGTAAACGCATGGAAAGTCTTTAAGAAATTATTGCATCCTCATGCGTCCTCTCGTTGTAAAAGTGGTTGAAACGTTCAGCTGGTGATTTGAGTTCGAATCCAGGAAAGGCATAGTTAATTTTTCAAATATCCTGCTCCGTAAAAAGTAATAACTTCTTCATCTGACCCAGAGCTGAAGGCAGTGGTCTGGTTTATTTGATTATGGTACAGCACTCGAGGGCTATCTGCCTAAGAGGAGGAAAGCCTTCGTGGAGGGCTGTAAGTGAAACTTGCTAGTATACAGTTACACTTGGGGAAAACCACAAAAAAGCCCATGCAGCGAGCGCTTTCGTGGGAATCGAACCTCGGACCGAACTACCAGTGTTCAGCTATTTTACCGCTCGGCCACTAGTGGGCCCGGAAGTGCAGTGGACGGTAATTTAATATCCCTTGGATTTGTTAAGTCTCTTAATGATTTGGTTTGGTTTATTTAATTATGGCAAAGCACACTAGGCTATCTGCCTAAGGGGAGGGATGCCTTCGTGGAGGACTTTCTAAGGAAAAATGGCTCGTGTACACGTTACACATGGGGAAAACCACGAAAAGACCCATACAGCCAGCTCGTTCGCGGGATTCGAACCTCGGACCGAACTACCAGTGTTCAGCAACTTTACCGCTCGGTCGCTGGTGCGCCTAGGAGGAGCTTGTGTTGTGTCGACTGTACGCGAGGAATGACTAGTTCCCTTTCACATATTCCCATAGCTCCGTAGGCACACGAGGCCTATCTGCCTAAAAGGAGAGATGCCGTCGTGAAGGACTTGCTGGCTCTTATACTTGTTACACGTAGGGAAAACCACGAAAACACCCATGCAGCCAGCCCGTTCGCGGGATTCGATGCTTGGACCGAACTACAAATGTTCAGCGATTTTACCGCTCGGCCGATGTGGGCCTCTCTTAAGTTGAAGTATAAAAACTTTTTGCATCTCTTGTGACTGCCGCTGTGAAGTAAGTGGTAGCACATTCCAGTTAGCGCATGGTAGCTGTGAGTTTTGAAATCTGGTGAGAAAGCTGTTGATTCATCACATTGTATGGTCTGGAAAAATAATGGTGTATGTTGTACTGAGAATACGGCAAAGCACACTAGGGCTATCTGCCTAAGGGAAGGGATGCCTTCGTGGAGGACTTTCTAAGGTAAACTGGCTGGTATACACGTTACACATGGGGAAAACCACGAAAACGCCCATGCAGCCAGCCCGTTCACGGGATTCGAAATTCGGACCGAACTACCAGTCTTCGGCGATTGCACCGCTCGGGTACTGGTGGGCGAAATAATAATAGTCTCTAATACTTAAAAGTCAAGAGTTCAATGTTCAAGATGTTTAAAATTAGTATTAAATCTATTTTCTGCAGAGGAACGGAAAAGCAGAAAGTCTGACGATTTGAAGGAGGGATAAATTTTGCGCTTACTGTACATTTATATCATACATAAAAATTATCACATTATTTTTACAAAGTATAAAAGAATTATTGGCTTTTTAAATGCTCATTTTAAAACAACTAAAATGATTGAAAATATTATTGCTTTAAATATTTTTATTAAGACATTTGAAAGTTCCGTTATGCCTCAATGTTCTCATGGAAGAAAACATGACTATGTTACGTATAACATACGAGTAATATATATCGCTTCGTGGCTAAAGTCAAGGAATTAGTAGTTTAAAATAACTTTCTACTTAACTTGAAATGCGTAACACTGCCTGAAATTTTTAATTTGAAATTTTCTATTTTTAAAGCAGTAAAGAAAACTACTTTAAAGTTTATACAGTTCTTTTATTTTTTAGTACCACCTAAGAGCCTTACTATCAAAGATGGCAAGAACAACACTTTAACAGGACTCATTGGACCTTATGAAGAAGGTGCTACTGTCAGCCTTGTTTGTGAAGCAGCTGGAGGCATGATTAATATTTAATTTATTATTTTATAATTAGTCATTAATGTATAATCTTAATTTATTTTTTTCACATGTAAATGCTTTTAATTTTATTAAGATTAGAATATTTAAAAATCTAGCTTCTTAAAAATGCTGTTTAAAAATTAACAAAAATACATTCTATTAATGAGAGATACTTTAAATTCCAATTAGATATTGTCTAATATTTTTACATGCCATGTTATAGAATCATATGCAAGGTGGGCATAAGTAAACTTTCCCGTTAAACTCCTAGTGGCCTATCCGCTCTAACCAATCGAAATTAAATTTCAAATGCTGTTGTTTGAAGGTATGCACTCGAGATTTAAAGCAATAGAGCCCTCTCGGTTACGGTTACAACGAAAAGACTTCGAAATTTGTTGCTGTTGTTTATTTTATACCTCACACGACGAAATTTGAATGTGTAAAATTTTCTTTTACTGTAAAAACATTTTTGTAAATGCGTTTAACATTTTTGTGAATGTGTTTTTAGCTATGTATTTGATTTTTTAGGTAATTTGGGTTTATTGTAAATACTCTTCAAAACATATTCAGATATTTTTTCAATATTCTTACAGTATTTTCTTAGGGATCAGAGTCGTGTCAGGGTATTTTTCTAATCTACTTCTTAAATTTATTTTTCTAATCTTCGAGTTAAATTGACTTGAATTTTATTAAAGTTTAATTTGGACATTCTATTTGGAATTAAAATTTAATTTGTATATATATATATATACAGAGAGAGAGAGAGAGAGATGCTCCGCGATATATGAGATGCTCCGCGAGCTTAATCAAAACCGGAAATTTGTTTAAAACGGTTTTAAGTCTCAAATTATCTACAGGAACTAAACATGTATTCGGAACACATTAATAGACCGAGTTTAGTGTTTCAAACACTTGTTATATCTGAAAATTTTATGTTTTTTAATACTTTTAACTTTAAACTTGGATTCATGGTGCCGTACAAAACTAACTCAAAAAAATATATATGAAACATTCAAATTCATAATATATATCAAAAATCAATCAAATAAACAATCGTATATCATATCTATCAATCAATCGTATAGTGGTAGTACAATTTAACGTTTAAGGTTTGCGTTGTGAGTAACCTATGTAAAGGGAAAATCAATAACTCCAAATTCAATTAAACTCCATGTTTCTTAAAAGCCTCCCGGCTCAAACAAATTGAGGGACATGACAGACCACAGTAAATTATACGCTACATAAATACACAAATGCAATTAAATTTTAAACACACATTTATTAAATTCTTGAATATATTATATAATTAAATAATGGATAACTGATCAGCAATACATATTTTTCTAAGCAAAATAACACATAATGTCACACGCATTTACAGCTTACAAAAATTAATATACCTTAAGATGGAAAATAACACATATCTCATTCCAAAATTAACATACTCATATTAATTAAGTTTACTATTTTTGACGTTCAATAGCTCACTAATTAAGCCGTTAAAACAAATCTTTAAACCTTCCTTTACAGACTTTAAATTAATTAGTCATTATTCAAAATATTCTAATCATTTAGTAGTTTACATATATAAAATAAACAATTTCCGTTTAAGTAATTTGAAAAGATAGAGAGGTAGACAAATTTAAAAATCCCTCACAGATGGAAGACAGTTTTTCTGGATTCTTTCAAGAAATTCTTTCAAGAAAACAAAAATAACTCTTAAAAAAATCAAATTCAAAAGCAATTCAAGCTCAAACCAAAAAAAGAATCAAATTCTGAAAATAGCCAAAATGAATCCAACAAAAACAGAACTGAAGCAGGTTACACACAGAATTTACCCGTAAACAAGAAAGTGTCCAATCCACTTTAAGAATCTTTAGTGTCCAATCCACTTCGAAATGAGCTAAAACAATTTTTTTTTCAAAACACTTTCAGAAGCGTCCATTGATTCAGGATATAATATGTCCATTAAGTGAGAGACAATTGGCGAAAGAAAAGATGTTTAGTGTCCAATCTTTTTTCTGTCAAAACACTTTCAGAAGCGTCCATTGATCTCAGGAACAAGGGAAGCATGATACCTCCTTCTGGAACAAATCTGTATCTCATGACAAATTTCTTCAACTGGAATGTCTCAAACATGACTATTCAAGTTCTCCAAAATACACGAAGAAGGCGGCGAAACTAAATTTTGGGTAGAGCACTTTTGGCACAAACTTCTTAGTTGTAACCAATCTCTCCTGTCTATGACGAACAATTCTAACTGGAAAGCCTCTAACATGACAATTCAAGGATCTCAAAATACACGATGAAAACGGTGAAATCAAATTGTTTGCGTTAGAGCACTTTCTCCCGTTCGAACAAATTCTCATCAGCGGGAAAGCGGCTAGAAAACCTCGCCTCAGACCGAGTCGCAAGCCCCCCGCAGGAGGTAAAGCACGCAATCGAACTTTTTCTTTTACTGCCTTACATCTTCGCAACTCAAATGTCTCCGATCTCCCAATCCGACGCAATAGCCGGCGCCCGCGAGAGCAAGACCCGCAAGGGTCAAGCCCCCACTCCTCTTCTTACTCTTAGCTTGAAAGACTCAGGAAACAGAATTAGAATGAACTCTAGTCTGGTGCAAGCACCCAGGAAAACTCGGTTTCTCCGCCTCTGTGAGTTCATAGGCTTTCAACAAAATCATAAAATTAAATCTTACCAATCCCGGAATTTTATGTTATCTAAATTGAGAAAATGACACACCCATTACGAATCAAACACCAGAAAATCTGACAATGCAATCCGAAAAACATCTGCACACATAACGTGAGAAAAAGTAGACCCCCCAACTAACAAGCGGAAAATAAGCTCCAAGAGAATCCAATTATCTAACTTAGTACACCTCCCACTGTCTTGAAGTTCGCAAAACAGCAAACTTCAACAAAGCGACATGAAAAACGATTTCCGTTTCACACGCATTAGCTAAAGGGCGACACACATACCCTACTACCTTCATTGTTGGAAAGGCCATAAACCAGATGTGTGTCCTCGCAACCGTCTCTCGCCTTTGTTACAATTCCTACTCAAGAATAATGAGTTAAATAAAACCTTAAGAGCTTAAGAATACTTTTTTTCCAGATTAAAATACACATGAATACAAATAAAAATATTAGAATAATAATGACCTGAATCACATATTAGTAATTAAAATTCGCGCCATAACACACTTACGCCTTTACAAGTTCTGTTTGAAGCGGAAAACGAGTGAGATTCATATTTTGATTTTCGTGTTTTTACGCATTTCTATCTACAGTACTTCATGCGTTTATTTTTCACGGTTGTGTTTACTAATTTGTTAATTTAATTTTAATTTTTAAGATCACAATTTGTTTTAACTTGTTCAAGATATACGTGCAATGTAATACAAATATTGTTAATTAGGAATTTATGCCTACTCTTTTCCGATGCGTTAACATTTTGCATCTAGTACACATTAAACGCAGTGTTAAATCAGTATATATTTTGCAGTTTAATTTAGTCGACAAGTCACCTTAAAATATTTCTTTTTGAGACAAATGCCTCGCCAGAGTACCTTTTACATACCCTATTATCTTCCACTGGTATCTCTGCAGTATTTGTATCTTATACTTAATGCTTAATAAATCGTTGTTTTATCATCAACCTAAAATTAAATTCTAGTTATTGAAGGCCATCTTTAATAATAATTATGTTTCAATTAAAAAAATCACAATTTTATCCATCTTATATAAAACTACTGATTAGCTGATTCGTTTCCTTATTAGATTTGCATAACAATAGCTAATCAGTCCATAGACATATTTTCTTTCAATATGTTATAGTTCTCCTTGGCATTTGTTTAGTTTAGCTCACAAAATGCACATGCCTGCCAAAACAGTTTTAACTTTATCAGTTTATGATGCTATTATATAAAATCCATTAAATCTGTTCTCATGCTTTAGTTTCAATCAGGTATTTGATTATTATCACTTTATTAATTATATTGCTCCAACTTCCAACTACTCAGTCTCATTTATTTAAAGCTCTTACTGTGAAGAAAATTCCACTTAATTACGTATTTTATAATTTGTTCGTACAGAAAGCGTTAGTAAAATTTTAAATGCCAAATTGTTAATTTTTTGTAGTGAAAAATAAAGAGTGATTGGTGATTTCTATCCTTCCCAAAACATTATTAATGAAAAACAGTTTCTAAAATTAAAATTAACATGCTTTCACTGATTTATAAGGTGTACTTTAAGAATAAATATTTATAAGGTGGCAGAAAGGCTTAATGAAACGCTGCATTTATTATTGGGTTGATCTTAATAAGCTGGATCTTTGAATGTTCGTTAAATTTTAATTGCTGCTTTTGCAATAACATATAAATAATTTCATTAATGGTTTTGATAATAAAAATTTAAAAGGTAAGCGTGCAAAATTTCACAAAAATTTTATAAATTCTGAATATCGAAACACGTAAAAAAGAAATTCCATAGATTCAGAAATGATTCTGGTTATCCTTAGCAAAATTTAAAATGAAGACTTCTTAATTTGTTTAGTCTTAGGTGTAGGAAAGAAAGTAATCAAATATAAAATTAAAAATATAAAGAAGAAAAAAAAATCGTCACATGCGTATGGCAGAGTATTTTAGCTATTATTGAGCTTTCTCTTCTACATAAATAGTTCTAAATTATAATAATTTTGTTTTTACATTTTTACATCTTATAATAAAGCAGGGTATGAGAAATATAATCTTTCTAAATTACGTAAATAGCAGAGGGATGGCTTCTGAAGTTTTAATTACTGCATCACAAGGTCCATGATTATGTGCAAAATAATGCATCTTTTAGATTAAAGTTCATATTGCTAAAAATCATTTATAAGACCTTTGTTCTCCTAGTTACCTGAAGCTCACTATTGGTATCCGAATTTAGGTGAAGTTTAGAATTTATTTTGAAACGATATATTTTGTGGAATATTCTTAATACGTTATATTATATCCTAACCATAATTTGAAGAATATTCTGAACAATCGCTTTTGATTATTTAAAAATGATGTAACTTTAGGCTGTTGCCAGAAATTTTCCTTTTGATGGAAACAATAAAAAAAATAGCTTCGAAAATTAGAAACTTTAGAATCATTAGAAACCAGGGAAATTTCTAGAAAAAATATATTTCCAAGTTTTTTTTTTTTTTTTTTTTTTTTTTTTTTTTTAATTTACACGAAGATTAGATTATACATTATTAATTTGAATCACATTTTGTTAGAAATTTCAGTATATTATTGTTATTATCATTATTAAATTATTATTATTAAATTATTATTATTATTATTATTATTATTATTGTTTACAAAAGGTCGTCCGACTCCTGTTCTGTCTTGGTGGAAAGGATCAACACTACTGGATGATTCTTACACGGTACTGGGTCGTGGCCAAGTGAAAAATGAGCTTGTTTTGCTGAATCTTCAAAGGGAGGATCTCTTGGCCACGCTCACTTGCCAAGCATCCAATACCAATCTTACAGTTCCCGTTTCGAGTTCGATTACTATCGATCTGAGTCGTAAGTACGTTTATATTTGCATCCAGAGTTATAGCATTTTGTAGAAGTAAACATATATATATATATACATCTGATATAAGATATCAGATGTATATTGGAGATTTCTTTATCATAATAAGGAAAAAGCACTTCATTGGTTGCTAAAACGGAAAACGTTATCTAAAACTAAATATACAAGGAGAGAACATAATGTTTCCTAATTTTATGAACTTAAAGAATGTTACATTTCACACAGGGAGTTTTATGACCTAACTGAAATATTTTCGCTCTGTATGATAATATGCAATGTATATAATTAAAGGAAAAATTAACACCGCCACTTCGATAATCGTTTCGAATAAAATTCATCATATTTTCATTTGAATTTTACAACGCTTACTTCACCCTGAATATTCATAACTGTGAAATCACATTTATGTTAAAAATATGGTGTGTTATTTTTATTATATTTGAATTGATAGAGTAGATATAATGAATTTAAGCAGAATAAGCTGGTCTTTCTAATATAATGCACATATATGAAATGATAAGTTAGAAAACACCTTTCAAATTAAACTAAAGCATTTTGTGCATAAAACGTTGTCAAAATATTTCCAATGTTGCCAAAATGATAAAATGTATATTTTTGTAATGCGAATATAATAACCTGCCTACTTAGTTAGAAATAGAGAATTAAAATTAAATATAACAAGTTAAAATACGGAATATTTAATTAATTGAAAAGAAAAAAAATCGTATACAAGTTCTTGTCCATCTGAATAGAACAAAAACATTTTGCGAAATATTTTCTCCGATTATGATGATAATTTATTTAATAAGAGAATATTAATGTGATGAAAAATTTACATACAAATTGCATATAAAATTGTTAGAGTACAAGCTGAAATTTCTTAATATTTTTAAATACAAATTGAGATTTCCATTTCAGTTTTCCAAAGTACCAATTAATGAATGAATTAACTCCATTATGGACGTATTTATTATGAATATATTATAAACATGCATTATTCCATTATATTAGGTACAGTTATAATTACGTATATATCATATATAAATTTGTATTCGTGTTTCATATCTCGTATAAACATGCATTATTCCATTATATTAGAAACAGTTATAGTTACGTATATATCATATATAAATTTGTATTCGTGTTTCATATTTCCCATGCTGAGGCTGATAGTACTGAACAATAGTTCTCTAGTACAAAACAGACAAGGAAATTTCTTCTGTTGCATGAGAAATAGTTTCAGAGACACCGGTTTTCGTAACCGCATCCGAATGCCTTACTGTAAGATATCCCTTTAAATTCCTTCAGACAAATCACACATGAAACTGTGGACAAAGCTAGCGTGCATTAACTTTTGATATCCTGTTTAAAGCGAATTTCGTGCGGGAAATTCCGTTCCAATTTGCCATGCAATCTACAAAGTTCCTCTCGTAAAATTCTGAAGTCCTCAAATTCCGCTGAAACCCTTGATTTGATGACTTTCCAGGGCAATTAGCACTTCCTCAGATTATCCGCATTTGGAAGTGGCTGCTTTGCAGATTATTGCTCGTCGGAGATTTTCACTCACCTTCCTGTGTGCGTGGTCTGTGAAATTTAATGTCCTTCAGATGAGAAGCTCTGGAGTTTAATTAATGTACTCGGGAAGATATAGAACATTTTCTCAATTTACAAACTCTTTAATAAAACATCTGCATTTGAATATCATAATTTATCTTGTTTGAGGTTTGATGAATGTTGTGCGTGAAAGTTGAATAACTTTTGCTAACTTTTGCAGGATAGATCTCTTGATGGAAATTTAAAGGGAAAGCAGATTTGAATAAATTGAAAGAATTGTGGTCTACTGCTGTTAGTTGCATGAACGGTACTATTATTAAAACAATTATGTCGCTGTTGTGGGACACAAAGTTTCAAAATATGTTTTGCTGCAAAGAAACTGATTACATTTTAAACGCAAATTAAAAGCTTTTAACACTGAAAATAAACGGCGTAGTAGAACGTTGCACTTATTTGTAAATAAGAAGTATAATTCTTGTACAAATGTTCCACACAGCGACATTTACTCAGGAATCACTTTTATGGCGAACGACGGAGATTAACTGAATTAAAGAACCCAAATATAATAATATAATTACTTTTGATCCTGTTAACTATCTCTCTTCCGGAAAAAAGAAAAAAAGAACTTATTCTGGTTTTTAAAATTTCGAAACTAATTACTTAAACATTCGTTTTAATTAAATGCAGGTCTTAGTACTTCTTGTCAACTTTTAAGGATTACGGATTTCTTTTACAAAATTATATACCACTTTCACATAAAATATAGCCGCAAATATGTAATTAATTGTAAATTACAAGTATTACTGTGAGAAAACAGTGTGGCACAATTAAATAAAATGAGACAAGGTAACAAATTGCTGAATTTGTAAATGAAATGTTAAAGTAAAACTACAACTGTATTAACAAAGGTCGAGCATTTGTGAATAAAGATACATGCATATATTGCATAAATAAGGCTGTAAATATAATTATTATCTAGGTATCATAATCTCTTTTTACCTTACCTTTTTTCATTTATACCACCTTATCTTCAGAGCATTTTTAAATCACTGCATGTTTTTTTTTTTTCCCTGTATAGATATTGGTTTGACTTTCCCTTTAAACATATCATTTAATCAGTTTCAGAAATCAACTAGTTTCAGAACAGAAATCCGTCTAGTTCAGAAACGAACAATTGTTTATATTAATGTACTTGATAAATTTTACAAAGAGCTGCATCGGTTAAAGAATGGAAAATAAAATTAAACGTATGTAGTAACCGCGTTCCCTTGCTGAACTCAAGTTTTCAAGTTCAAATTATTTAAGTTTTTATTAATATTTAAATATTCTACATATTAATACTCTGAAATTAGTTTTATAAATTTATAGTTTGATTTATTGTCATCATTGAGTTTTCTTTCCTACAAAGGAACTAAGGGCAGATAGGATTAGAATGTTTCAGAAATTGGAACATACTTTTATTTTATTTATGTTGTATAAAAGAAAGAATGGAAGAGTATTACTTGTTGAAAAGACACTTTGGAGGATCCTGAATACAACAACTCGATTATCGTATGGAAATAGTTAATCAGAAATTTGAGGACCATTAATTTGAATTGGTAGATTTATTAATTTCAGAAGTGAAGTAAAACATTATGTAGTGTTTGTGAACATGATAAATCAGGAGTTATAAGAATTAGAATTAAAATAATTAAATTATTAAATAGTTGGACTAAAAGCATTTAATTCAGTTATGTATGGACGTTATGTATCAATAAACAATGACTACTTAAATTATTAAATTACTTCAGTTATAATGTTCTGCTCCTAAAAGAATGTTGTGGCTGCGTTCGCATATTTTTTTTCCTTTAACGTAAATCAAAAAAGTGAAGCAATTGGTAAAAAAAAAATCTGAAGCATCTGAATTATTATTATTTAATTTAAGGTGACATTTAAGACTTGAAAAATTTAAATTATTGATTTTTCTCTCATTGCTTTTCTATTAGTTATTTATGTAAAATATGTGATCTATATCAGATTTTGTTCTAATAAATGACAAAAATCTACTGTATATTTAAACATTTAAATATTTCCACATTTTGTAAATTATTCTAGAAAGCTTCTAACTGCAAAGTAATGTCTTCAAAAGGTAATTTTTCCTTTCAAGGAAAAGTTTTAGAACATTAAGTTCCAGCTTGGTAACTTTAAAGGTAATTAAATTGCAATTTTATTAAATTTTAAAGAAATAAAAGTCTTTTATCCTGGAAGAAAAGTTGCATCTACTTCCTGTAGGGAAAGTTCTCTTCCAAAACTCTTCTAGCAGTGTTTTCGTGTTTTTTATGTTTTTACTTCTTTCAAGACAAAAACATTTTACAATGTATCAAAAAATTTTATACGAATGCATGTAATATAAAACATTATACAAAGGTAATATTTGCTTCAGTAAGTGTCATAAAAGAGAGATATATATTTTTTACTTCAGAAAATATTATATTGTATTATAAGTATTAAGATCCTTTAAGGAAAGTATACAATTGTCTCTGGAAAATATTTGTACATTATTTATTTCGTGATCAATAACAAATGAATTTCAATGAAGGAAAATACGAAATGGGAGTTAATTCAGTTTAACTGAAAATATATAATGCAATTATATTTTCGGATAATAATCCTTCCCAGCGCAAAAATGTGTATTCCCTTTTAGATAGTGACTTGTACTTTCATAGCTTACTTAGTGGGATGTATTTTAACGGTATTTTTATTTATGTGGCTTTATATTTTGTATTATAACTACAATTAATTTAATCTACCGTTAGTTTATTAATTTACTATATTATCATGTATATTCAATGATTAGGAGTAAATGTATCAACAATCACAATATGTAAAAAAAGTTAAAATATGGCTAATAACAGCTTATTAGAAATTGCTGTATTTTTACTATAACAAAACTGAAGTCGCAAAATTGTCTGTAAATCTATCGTTTCTGCTTAAAACGTTTCTCATAAGTGACACAAGTGCGTACGATATTGTAAGGAATGGTAACTAAAGCACACTTTCCATTTCTTTCATTTAAACTTCTTGAAAACACATATTCATGTTGGTATTTAAAAAAAAACACAAACAAATTTCTTGGTAGTAAAATTGAAGAAATCGTTAAGCAAAGATCAATCGAAAAGCAAATCAAATCCGATGGAAAAAAAAATTAACAAACCGCTTTACAAAAAATCAATTTTCGAAATGAAATTTACAATTACATGCTAAAACAGAAACTCGACTGTTAAACAAAAGCGGTACATCGTAGACAAGTTCCCTAACAGTTTTGCTGCTTCTGCAGCAGTTCAAGCGAATCATGCTTTTTATGAGATCAGCACTGCACAATCTATTGTTTCTTGCCTTTTTTCCAGTAATCCTTCGAGAAGATAATTATCCGTGATGACATGAAAACATGGTTTGCTGCTGATACATTACAGAATTTCCCAAAGAATTTTTATATGAATATATATATAACATATACGTATGTATGTGAAAAGACAATATCGTTTCCAAAAACGGTATTTCTCACAAAAATTGAAGTAGGAAGATTTCTTTAACTGTGGTGGCTACAAACTCCATGCTTCCTAGTATTCAAATTCTTTCTGTGATTGCCAGTCGTTGATTCAAACCAGTTTTGAAAAGCAGTAATTCTTCTTCTGCAAGAATGTTCCGCTTCTGGCAACAATATGAAAGCGAAATGCCTTTTCTGTCTTGAAATGTTCAACCGGCTTGCCATTTTCGTAAATACTTTTCTTACTTTTAAACGTTCTACAGCTCTCCCTGTTAAAAATTCTACCAAATTATACGACAGAACCTTGTCTTGATAAGCATTGAAATGTTGCATTGGATTTCAGATGTGGTAGTTTGAAGTTAATGAAAAAACGCTCATCATTGCTTTGGATAATATGCTGACATTGTTTGAATTTTAGAAACAGGTTAATTAAATTAGGATAAATAATAACAATTAGGTTCACGTTTTGTTCATTTCATAAAAAGAATAAATTAGTAGAATGCATGGAAATTTATTTTATATTTCCAAAGACAACTTTTGACACCAGTGCATAACGGGATGTCATCTTTTAACAATGTTTTCTTATTTTCGGACATGTGAATTTCTTCAGCAGCTAACGCTGTTTCTATTTCTCTCGTTGTTCCATTTATTGATTTTGCCATAAATTTTGTTGTTTGCTCATAGCACCTTTTTCAAATATTGTCGTTCTGCGAGATGTATTTGATTATACCTGATCACACATTCCCAAGCAATGATCTCAAAGAAAACAACTGACTGAGTTTTTTTCAACAGAAATCTTTTAATATGAAACTTAAAATATATATTGAAGGTGTGTCGTGTTAAGAACTAAGATATTTCTGCCACTTTCTCTTGTGATGCAATAGTAACGTATCACTCCAGCAACAAGAGATCCTGGTTTTTATTCGGAGAGAGGGCAATGTCTTATTTCTGTATATGCCATACCCTTTAGACTCCCATTATGTTCTACAAACTATCTGTAAATGAATAGAATATTCTGTACAGTACACAAAACTAAAGCATCATAAACACAGATCACTGATAACATTCAACAGTGGACTGATTTATATTATTTAGTAAGAGGTAACTGTATTTATATTGCACTTGTGAATTATATTTCACTTAAAAATCATTCAGTGTCCAGTTTTAGAAACAAAATTATTTTACTCTGTAAATCTCAACTTTGACGAAGATCTATGGTTACCTCATTATAACTGCTCTAATTTCTCAATGAACAGTTGATTTAAATGTCACAGGTTATTTTCCTAACGACTACTGCCTAATATTATATCATTATTACAAATTATATTATTATTACAATGATCAAATTTGTTTTCAGAACTAATAGTAAAGCATTTTTATAAATAACCTTTGTGTGGTTAAATGTGTGCATTTCTATTAATGTGTACTTACAGTTGGTCCACAAGAAGTGAAAATTATTACTCCACGAAGACCGTTGTCCTCTGGTGAAGAGCTTGAGATAGTATGTCAGACATTCGGATCAAGACCCCCTGCGAGATTATGGTGGTTGATTGGCCAGGAATCTCTCAATGCCATGGCCAAAGAAACAATTTCCGGCGATGGAAATTCCACTATGAGTCGATTGCGATTCCGTCCTATGAGTGAAGAACATGGAAAAACTTTAATCTGTAGAGCTCACAATCCTGAAACTCCAGACAGTGCCTTAGAAGATAGATGGGAACTCAACGTGTATTGTGAGTATGAAAAGAGACATCCTTTTCAAAGTGTCATAAATAATATTTCTCAAGCAGAAATGAATGGGTAGTTGTTGACATATTTTGATAAAGGCAGTTACTACTCCTTTTTAATTTAAGATTGAATTTTGTTGCATCCTTACCCAATTTAATCCTCCTAATCCGAAAAAAGTAATAATAATGCGAGCAATAAACTTCAGTCTGAAATAAAATTCCATATTTGTAATAATGATGCTCGAAAATGTAGTTCTCCATTTAAATTCCATTATAAGTATTAGATTTCCATTATAAGTATTCCACTCCATCTACTTCAATTACGTTTGCTGTTCTTAAGTTATGTTGCAATGTCAGAAGGAATATTCTAATATATACATAATTCCTTCTGCAAATATCTAATTAAACATTTATAAATTTTGAAATGCTGAAAAAGCTCTTTTCCATAACTCATCCTTTCTATATTGCGTTTGTCTCGTTATAATCGAAAGACAAGAAATTACACGAAATGCTATTCAACATTTAAATTAAATATTCCTTTTTCCATTGTAATCGGTTTATCTCGTAACAATCTTTCTTCCTCTAAAGGAAACTAGCAATTTTTAGTTATTCATTGGTGAGTTAATAATGCATATGATGTTCATTATTTGGTTAATTTCTTTATTTGTGCTTTACATTAATTTCACTTGTATTTAGCCATACACATTTCTGTCTGCACAAATGTCTATTAATTAAGAAAGTTTGGGCTTGGCATTGTTTTCAGGGAATTACAGCTTGTACTCGTAATTGAATTCAATTTGTATAATGTTAGTAAATTTAGATATATGTTTCATTATTAATTCATTATTCTTTATTAATATTATTTATTTTTCGTATTTTGCATTGCCCTCGCCATTTTTAATCAGTATTTCTTTCTATCAGCTATTAAACCTCCTTTTTTATTGTTACTAATATTACTATTATTACAAATTATTTTAAAAGTTAAGAAAAAAATGAAGGCATTGAACACTTTGCAAGTTATGAAGTTTGTTGTAAGATCGATGAAGATCTCCTATTGGAATCATATCACGTATCTACTTTGACGTCTTTGATTGGCTTATTAGCTCAAAGTGCCTTAGAAACAAAATCACCCATTATGTAGACGAAATATTATTAGGCGACATATCTGCAGATGGGACTAAATTGCGTCGCTGAGCAACATTGTCTTCTCGTGTAGATGCGCCAGTACGCTGCTCTGTAAATTTTAGGAAAAGTTTTGTTTCTCAGTACGCAGTAGATCTTTCCTCTATATCAGAGTTTCTTAAACTGTGGGTCGTTTTAAAAATTTTAGCAATTTTGAAAATTCTTTAAGGTATTATAATAATTTTACAATTACCAAATATTTTTACATAATGTGTTTAAAAATAGATAAATGTAAGACAATACAGACAAAGAAAAAACGAAAACGTTTCTACGCATTTTTTTATAATAGAAACATTCATTTTACTTTAAAAATTAAAGTTAATGACCTAAACCTGCAATCCTATATTACAGTGCAAGTGACGTAACTAGTTAACTAATGACAATATAACTAGTTAATTAATGAATTATTAAATAATACAGGAATTTAATACTATAGTTTCACTGAAAATTGTCTCTTTTATACTTCATTTTTTATTTTCGGAAATTATGGGTTATGCATATGATGAGTATGGGGAATTTAAAAACAAATAGAATTGCTGCAACGGTGTAAAGCATATCATCAAAGTAAATTGACTCCAAATGCTTTAGCGCAAAACGTTTGGAAGCTTATAACATAAACTAAACATATTTACTGGAGAAAATTTACAGTTAAATCATTTAACAAATATAACTGCAAAACGAATAAAAAATCGCACTAAATTTTTTCAGCAGGCATGAATAACGCAACTATTTTTAATTTGCACTTAATTAAACATAACTATCACCATTCAAGTTTTCAGAAAACAGCAGTTTATAGAAACAATTTTTTTTCAAATCTTTAAATCTACCTGCTAATGTTTGAAGCCTATTTTAAATCTAATAATTTTAAAAGGACACTACGTGTCAAGAACTATGGAATTAATAAATAGAAAATTCCAAATGGAATTTAGTAAAATTACACGCAGAATTACACCCTTTTTTGCATTGCTTGATGGTGTATTTCTCAATTTTTCCGCTTTTCCTAACAATTCATTTCTTTTCAAGGTTATTAATTGTAATCTAGTAATAAATAATATGCTCCATACCACAGAATGCTACATTTACACAGAGATTAAATATGTGTAAGTGGGTTTTATAATGGCCTAAGTATAATTGAATTTGATTCAGATTTACAAACATTATGGAAGATAATTTTCTACCTAATACGTTATAATAAAAAAATAATGTATGTAGACACATTAGTTTGTATAAAGTTTAAAAACCAAAGATGTTTCAGTTAAATGCGCTGAATTCATTGGATTACATATGGAACAAGAACATTCCATAAACTCGAAGTCCTATAATTTCAAAATTTTAATCCTCTTTGAAAAATGTTATTACTTTCGCGGTTGTAAACATCTGAAATGATAGAAATATTTCCACGTTTTGAACCTTTTCGTCACATTGAGTTACGCTCAATGTGACGAAATTGGAATGAACACATCTAAATTTGGTTATTCTTATTATTTAAAATATTATGTTTTACACTGCATGTGTTAGGAGAAAAATGACTCATCTTTGAGTTTTGTTAATTGATTGCTACTGAATTCGCCTGAAGAATGACGAAATATGTGTCAACCACTTTTAATAAAACTGATTAATTTTGCAACATTTTACTTCATTTTATTAGCATTATTATTCCTCGGGATTTTGCTTCCCTGTTAATTAAATATTAATACAAGAACCGCATTTTTATGTTTGACCTCAATTAATATTTCTTTTTATTTATCATTTTTTAGTTCTTTATATATATATACACACATGTGTGGATGTTGATATGTCTAATTTTATTTTTATATATTTTACTTAATTATTTAATTTTTGACGTTGTTGGTTTCTTACCTTCTCTCCCTTTTCTTTCCCAAGTGAATGTTAAATATTAACTTCTATAATCTGTAAAACTTAATTTTATTTAAGTTATTAAAATTTATAATAATTAAAAAAATAAGTACTTCTGTAAAGACAATAATTGCAATAAAGTTCCTATAGCGTAAAATTAATATTTGCCGATATAACTTGCGTTTACGAAAGAAAGCATTAACTAAATTATAACTAAGAGAATGTATTTGAAAAAGCAATAGTATTCAAACGCAATTATCAAACAATGCACGTAAATTTTGTGAATAGGATTTAACTCTTAGATAGAATTATTATATCGAAATAAAATGATTGATTGCAAGTGTTCTTAAATTTTGAAATGCTATGTTAAAAACTAATTTTAGCCATTGCGTGGAGGTAATTGCATTTACTACAGAGCTATCATTTTTAAAAACTTAATTTTATACCCTGAACATTAAATGTTATTACATAAATACAAAATAAACTGCTTAAGTTTTGTAATATTTGTAATTATTATTCTCCGGATTATATTAGGTAAATATTTGTGAAATGACCTTAAATTTAGCTACACATATGCAAAATTTATATGCATGTAAAGTTTTAAATCAATTATTTTATTAGTTGCAGTTTGTTAGTAATTTCTTGTATGAATTGCCAAAATCTAGTAGAAATGCAGGTTGTTCGAAAGCTACGAATTGCTACGTCATGCATAAAAGTTTATACAAATGTGTCTCATAAATGATACGGCGTATATCTAATAATTACTTAACATAATAACTTTCGATTGCACGTAAGTTTGTATATGGATGCTTTATCATGTTTACAGACATTATAAAAACGCTGGAGAAAGAGGTCAGATATCATAACTCTTACAAAAGCATATTCAATTTCTTTTAATTCTAAAATATTGATTAGGAAAGTACAGTTTTTGTCTGAAACGTACAATACATTTATGTCTTCAAGGAAGCGGGTGTTTAATCTCTTTTATTAGTTGTTATTTTGCATGTTTATTGCATGTTAGTTTTATAAAATCATATTGCTTATATTGAACTAAAAGCAATTGATAACATGAATATTTTGCTACTTTGATCCTCCTAATGTTCCTTTCTTGTTTCGTTATGTTTCTGCTAACATGTCTATATATGTCGGGTTATTTCAGTTGTCCCCCAGCTTTCTCTTGCCCTTGGAGCAAGTCAGCAGTATGAACATATTCGAGAAGGAAGCGATGTTTACTTTGATTGCAATATCCAAGCCAATCCACCAGTTACAAATGTCATGTGGAGATTTCAGTCCCGACCATTGGAACACCAGCCTTCCATTGGCATCATTGTCAGAAATCATTCTTTACTTCTACAAAATGTTGGAAGGAGACACAGAGGAACTTATCGATGTTTGGCCACGAATCAAGAAGGAGAAGGACAAAGTGAGGATACAGAACTGGCAATTCAGTGTGAGTATCGTTCCTTTAATCGTATAAATAATTGCCTCGTTAGCCATGAGAAGCAATAAATGGCTCATAGATAACTAAGCTTTATACTAAAATGCGTTATCGCATTATATACTAAAATGCGTTATCGCACTTTAGTATATAATGCGTTATCGCATTTAATAATGCGATATTAAATATTTGAAATACTATATATATATATATATAGATATAAACTTGAAAAATTTAAAAGTAAGTTGCAGTCAAAGGCAAGGCGATTCCTCAACAATATTAATAACTGCATATTTGTAAAGGGGTTATGTATAAAATCAAAACATTTCAAAATAAAAGATCATAGTAATACGACTATGACTCCAATCCCTTTTAACTTTTATAACTTTAAGTTTATTTTACTTCAATCATGCAGCTATAGCGCAGGACGGGTTTAACGATTTTTTTTTTATTTTTGCCTCTTATTAAGTTTTGTTGTATATCTATATATATATTATATATATATTAAATTTTCTTTGTATATATATGCATAATATACTTAATATATATATATATATATGTGTGTGTGTGTATATATATATATAATATATTGTTTCATATGAATAAAAAGTTAAATTAAATTTAAACAATTCTATAATTTTAAAAAGACGAAAACTTGCGCTAAAGCAGCTAAGTAATAAATCAATAATTTATTAGAAAATTTCCATTCTCCCAGTACGTATATATAATCCCCAAGGAAAAGAAAATGTATGGACTATTACAATAGGATGATCTATGCACTCAAAACTTTATACAGCCTACATTTTCAGAACAATGTACAGCAGCTAGCAGAGGCTATGCAGCACGTCTAAGCAGAAGGAAGGAAGTAGAAAAAAGTTACAAGCGATATTTTATTTTTAAAGTTTAAATATCGAAAGCAAAATGCTTCTTTAATTTGACTGGATGAGATCCATCTACATTGCAGCATAATTACAAAAGAAGCATGAAACGGATTAATTTAGGGATAACCAATTCAGAAAGTTACTATAAACAATTTCTATTTGTAGAACAGAACGGCGAGATAGCCAAATTAAAATAAGGAATAAAAAGAACTATTTCCAAATTAAAGTCAATAATTTTCTTTCATATTTTATTTCGTACATATATGAGTCGACAAGAACCCTCAAGTGCGGAACAGAAAATTGTTTCACCCAGCTTTTCAAATCATTGCTTGTGTGAATCTATTTATGCGTATCAAGGTTTGCTCTATTATGAAAATAAAATTAAGTTGAATCAAAACCTTTCTATGCTAAAGGTTTTCTTCTCCGAAATTTTATTCTAATATATTTTCAAATCATTAAGTCATCTACAAAATTACTACATATGTGTATCTTCAAGTTCGACAGAAGTTAACGTCGCTAAATATTAAAGCAATAATTATACTTCCTAACAAATATAAATTTACAAAACCATGGTGAAATAGTATTGCAAAAATCTCCCCACTAAAATTGCAGAAAAATGTAGAGATGCTAAATTATTTTACATGGAGCAGAAATTATGCGTACATTTAGCATTTACAATGAATGTTGCGTTAGGTTTGTATTTCAGCTATTTTATCATAACGCTAAATTTAAGATAAGTAAACCAAAATAAAGTTTTAAATAATAATAGATAATGCTACTTCTTAAAATTGTATTTTTCCTTGAATTTGTACGTATATACTTGATAACATATACATACGAAACCTCACATCTAAATCTTGTTAAAATTGATCTTGTTTTATTTTCAAGCCAGATACTCTTTCATTTTGTAAAATCTATCCAGTTTCAATAACAAACGGGCCAGTGATATTGAATGTACGCAAAAGACAACTTAATCTCAGGTGCAGGTGACCTAAGGTTATCAATCATTCGACCAATAGGAAGTGACATTTTCTTGACGATGTGACCCAAGCGACTGCAAGTAAAAGCAATTCGGAAACCAGATCTTTCGAGTTGAAGAAAGATAGATCACCTCTCAAACAAGTCGACACAAGACGGAATATTTTTTACTTTAGTTTTATACCCTACTGCAAAATATATGAAAGTATTTTAGGTGATCTGAAAGCTCAAATTCTTTAGTATATTTTCTGTATCCAGATTATATTAAAAGCAATACAATTTGAGTGCATATTAATACTTCATCGCCAAAATTTCCTTTTAAATCCAGGTTGTCAAAATTTGCCTATATATATATATGTAGAAGTCTCAGAGTGTGTTTAGCAATCATGTTTCGATACAACAGTACAAAATATGATCTGTAACTGTTGAAATTGTTTGTCATTTCCCTGTGAGGGAAGAGTTTTATCTCTGAGGATAGTAGTGTAAAAATTAACTTTTGCATTTTATATGAAACAATGTCTATAGAAATATTTAAGAGAAATACACAAAAGCTCAATTCATAAGAATATGTTTTATTATTTACCTTTTTACTGTGTATGTTTCTGCACTGAGACACTTCAACCATAGATAACATTAGTTTTATAGAAATTCTTATGAACTTCAATTAATAAGTTTAATTATTTTCATACATTTTGCAAATAATTTAAAATTCTTCTCTGGTATATTTTTAATCTTACTGTTATTATATTTTTAATAGATGGCATCGCAATTGTTTTCAAAATTTTTTTTAAAGTAGAGACTTATAGAAGTATATATTATATAGTAACTTACGGAAGTGTTTATTGTTTTATATTCGCAAATTTAATGTTCTATCAGCATAAAAAGTGCTGTTATTTAGGGAGGATATTTTTTGCAAAGCTCTGGAGCAAGCAATCCGAAGAAATAAATACAAAGCAGCTCCGCTTTCAGCAATTAAGTTTTTTTTCGCTCAATAAGTGCACGAGTCTCCACGTGGAGTTAATTAACAGGGAAATATATCATAGAATTTGGCTTTGCCATTTAAGCCAATAATTCCTAGAATTTGGCTTTGCCATTCAAACGAATTTATTATAGAAATAAGATTTTATAAATATATATTATAAAACTAGAAAGCTCGGCGGTCATACGAAATGGCCGCTGTTCTAGATATTATAAATTGTATTAAATGATTGGTGCAAGTGACTGCACTTTAAAAAAAATTACCACGGCAGGCGGCAGGACCCCCTTTGCTACTGTCCCCACGGTTCCCCTTCTACATGCTTAAAATTGCTTAAAAGAGAGTGCAAGAAGGAAACCATTAGCAAACTTTCTTAAGAGCCAGCGCTAGCTCATATATAAAGTGATTTAAATATGAAATTTAATCACATGTCAAGATCTCTTTTACACACTCTCTTGCTAGATTTTTCCTCACTTTAAGCACGCCGCTGAGGAGCATCCGTATTTTTAAGTTACTCCGTTTTTCACGAACTTTGAACAGGCAACATAAAGTTGACCGGTCCAAGCAGGCTCAGTAAAAAAATGCCAACACGCTTAGCGTTTGACCCTGAGACTATGGAGTTATAGCAAAGGTAAGTTTTACAGGAAATTGTCTACGTATCAAATGAAACGGCAACCCTGCGCCGTGGTAACTTCACCCCATTGGCTAGTACAGTTACACAAGCAACCAATAAACTATCGGGGACAAACAGACAATTAAGCCGCATATATATATATATATATATATGGGGTGAAGTAATATCATCTCCTCCGAAACGGTTGGCTCCTGATCTTAGTGAAGGGGCTTTCTCTACATGGCTTTTTCATCAACAATTCCTTAGCCGGTCTTCGTTTCTAATGAGAGATTTCTTTATTTCTTTCATATATATCTTAAGTATGAATTTTATTCCAACCGTTTCTACTATTAGAAATCACGTCTCTGAGTTCTGAGTTAAGTATTAACATGATTCATATACATTATAAATAACATAATCGTAGAAATGAAATAGCGTAATATAGCTTAAATCTATAAAAGAAAATATAAGTAAGGAAAAGTAAGGTTGTATTTCTAAGTTGATCGAATGCATTCGAAAGAAAATCGCAGCCCATACAATCAAAAACAACAACACACACAAAAAAAGTTCGAAATAGGAGCTAGGAAGAACAAAAAATGAAAGTATGCGCACAAAAGGAAAAAGAGAAATGTCCACTTTTATTTATAATGTTGGTAAAACTTTGTGAAACATAAAGCTTAAATGCTTTGTAAAGAACACGACAGTAAGCCAATTTAAGCTGAGAAAGGAAGATTACTCTACTACTCAACCAGATACTAAAAATGGTAAAATAATCATGCTTCAACGATACCTGCACATTATTGGAGACAGAACTATGTAAGCATCATCCCGAAGTGCCGCCTGAAGGTAAAGTAAAGTAAAGTAAAAAAAAAAAAAAGTGTAGTAAGTGTTTTACTCATCTCGTCATATCTGATGTTCTCTTGGAGAATCAACCCTGTCAAAAAGAAACAAATTTATTCAATAAATACATCGAATACGAGCTTAAAAGCCTGGAATTAGAACAAAAATCTGAGTATTATTATTTCAATTATTCAACTACACAAAACTATAACACAGATGTTATGACAAAATGCAATATGAGTAAATATCCAGGTGTTGTCTGGCAAACACAAGTCCAGGTGTTGTCTGTCTTCGAACTGAGTTCTCAGTTTACTAGTATCAATTGTGTTTTAAGTACTTTGGCCGTGTTACCATAACATATTCATGTCCAGCTGGTCACATGACTGATGACTGAGGCAGAGAACAAACAGTACTACTGTCATGCAAAGACGATTTGAACGTTTCATCAGCATGTGGTCAGATATAATCATGTTGGAATATAGTGCCAGGAGTATTTCAAAGGAAGGCCTCTGTAAATGCAATCATATAGGAGTTGCTTTTTAGTGTGTCTGTAATTCCCGCAGCTCATACACACGGTATCATCTAAAATGACTAATAGCGTACCACATTACCACAACTATCGTTCGACGTATATGACGCTCTAAAATGCATGCTGAACGATATCGAGCACCGCAATATTTTCTAATATCTATGCTGTCATTATTGCAGTCTAGGTTAAAGCAAA